AAGAAAAAAGAGAGGGAGAAAGGAAGGGAGGAAGGGAGGGAGGGAGGGAGGGAGGGAGGGAAGGAAGGGAGAGAGAGAAAGAGAAAGAGAGAGACAGTTAAGGTAATTCTTTGTTTTTTTTTTTTTTTTTTTTTTGAGATGGAGTTTCGCTCTTGTTACCCAGGCTGGAGTGCAATGGCGCGATCTCGGCTCACCGCAACCTCTGCCTCCTGGGTTCAGGCAATTCTCCTGCCTCAGCCTCCTGAGTAGCTGGGATTACAGGCACGTGCCACCATGCCCAGCTAGTTTTTTTTAGTAGAGACAGGGTTTCAGCATGTTGACCAGGATGGTCTCGATCTCTTGACCTCGTGATCCACCCGCCTCGGCCTCCCAAAGTGCTGGGATTACAGGTTTGAGCCACAGCGCCCGGCCAAGGTAATTCTTTAGACTCATCACATGGACTATATAATCCAACCTAACAAGAGCTAAGAGAAGCAGATGATATATAATTTATTGAACCTGGCCTAAGGCATTTTTGGGGAATAATAACTTTCTGTACTAAAAACACTGCTTCAATACTTTACAATTATTGTCACATTTAATCATCACAACCAACATGAAATGGCTTGCCTTGAAGAATCCCATTTTGCTCTTGTCCCCAGGATAGGTATTAAAAGCACCTTTTTCCCTCTCAAAAGTGTGCAAAATTGATGGAAATTTATGATTAAACCTTAATCAACCAGTTTTTAAATAATACAAACTGGAGTAAGGTCACACAGCTACTTATTTACCCTCATATAGTGAAGATACTTAATACATTTTTTACAAAAATTAACAATTTGAGCATCAGAAATATCAGGAGTGAAGAGAAACTAAAAGTTCAACTTTTTTTTTTTTTTCAGACAGGGTCTCACTGTGTCCCCAAGCCTGGAGTGTAGTGGGATGCCTAATATTTTATATTTTTTGTAGAGACAGGCTTTCCCCATGTTGTCCAGGCTGGTCTCGAACTCCTGAGCTCAAGTGATCCACCCACTTCAGCTTCCCAAAGTGTTGGAATTATAGGCGTTACCTACCATGCCCAGCCTCAACATTTTTTTGGAACAGGATGTCTTCTGCGAAAACTCTTTGATACATACTAAAAATTACCAAAGAATTCTGATCAACTGGATTTCTTTTTTTCCAATTACTCAAAGATTCCACAAGTAACTCAAACTCTGACCATGCATTTGGATATGCGAATCTCAAATGACATGATTGTCAAGCCTCTATTCTTCATATTTCTTTTTTTGAGACAGGGTCTCACTCTATGGCAATGGCCCAGGCTGGAGGGGAGATCATGGCTCACCACAGCCTCGACTTCCTGCCTCAAGCAATCCTCCCACCTCCCAAGTAGCTGGGACCATAGGGTACAACATCAACGACCACGCCTGGCTAATATTGTGTGTGTGTGTGTGTGTGTGTGTGTGTGTGTGTGTGTGTGTGTGTGTGTGTGTGTGTGTTTATGAAGAAGGGGTTTCGCTTTGTTGCCCAGGCTGATCTTGATATCCTGTATTTAATATGTAAATACAAATGGCCCCTGGATAATTTAACTTCACATAGTTTCTAGTCACTAGGTCTTCAACAATACTTCCGAGCTCTCCTTAATTTCTGTAGTCACATTGCTGGTTTTGACTCGGTGATAGGAGAGAAACAGAAAAGACTACAAAGGAGAATAAAAGTGAGACTGGAAGGAGGAAGAAATGTTATCTTGATTATAGTACTTAAGTATTGTGATTGCTGGAAACTGTTTCTGTGAAATACATGACTACTACATTAATACTTCACAAAGCGGCCGGGCGTGGTGGCTCACGGCTGTAATCCAAGCACTTTGGAGGTCAAGGTGGGTAGATCACGTGAGGTCAGGAGTTCAAGACCAACCTGACCAACGTGGTGAAACCCCCGTCTTAAAAAAAAAAAAAAAAAAAAAAAGGAAGGCCGGGCGCGGTGGCTCAAGCCTGTAATCCCAGCACTTTGGGAGGCCGAGGCGGGTGGATCACGAGGTCAAGAGTTCGAGACCATCCTGGTCAACACGGTGAAACCCCGTCTCTACTAAAAATACAAAAAATTAGCTGGGCATGGTGGCGCGTGCCTATAATCCCAGCTACTCAGGAGGTTGAGGCAGGAGAATTGCCTGAACTCAGGAGGCGGAGGTTGCAGTGAGCCGAGATCGCGCCATTGCACTCCAGCCTGGGTAACAAGAGCGAAACTCCATCTCAAAAAAAAAAAAAAAAAGAAAATAAAAACTTCACAAAGCAACATGTTGATATTTTTGTAAAACAAAGTTAGAAGACTTACAGTAACTATATTTTCTCTATAATGATTAAACATTATAAAATTGCCTGTCAATGTCATAAAAAATAAAGTATAAGAACACAACATTTTCCTTACCAGAATGGAGTGCATTCCCATGTAAATTCTACTTAGGCAAACTAGAGAACACCAGCAGGGAATAAGAATCAGTCCATATATAAGAGGATACTAAAAGGGGAAAAAAGGTAAAATTAGTTAAACAAATTTAAGTTAGAGAAGACAAACAAAAGACAAATCAAATCACTATTCTATAAATGCCACTAAAACAAGAACTTTGTGTTTTTACTCTGCATTATATTCTCAGAACCTAACCCTGAGTATGGCACATAGCAGACATTCAAGAAATACTTTTGCACAAATGAACAAATGAATGAAATCTCATGTGTCTTCATTATTTATTGTGGGAACCAGCTCATTTTTGCTTCTACAATGAAGATTCAATCACTGGGTTGGTATCAAAGGAGGACAGGTAAGACACATAGTTTTAATATGGCCTCCAAAATGAAATGGCCTCTGGAATAGTACCTGAATCTGGTCCATGTAAATGTTTACAGTTGCCTGGGGAGGAGCATTGGCATTATCTCCCTCTCACCTCATCAGTGACTGCTATACACAATTTATATTGCTATTCCCTTACCTGTATTCAATATTTAACACCTTGTACTTAGTTTTTCACTTCCGCCCCATCGACTAAAATTTCAAATTGTCCCCTTGCTGGGAAAAATTTTACTGGAATACTAGGAGCAGAAATCATAAAAAGGGACAAAGCGTAAACAGAAAGTGTAGACAATTCTTGGTATCAATGGCACTAGTGGAAGAGTTGGCTTTGAATGTCCTGAGATTGGAGGGAAAGAGGAAAGGATGGATGGACATGGTGATAGGTCTGTAAAGGGAAGAAGGGAGGGCACATTTGGGGCTGTTCATGCCTGATGACTTCAAATTTCTCAATGAAACTGAAGCCAAGGTGGTTAGAGAAGTTGGGTTGAAATAAAGGAGCAAGGGAGTTTAGTACGCTTATAAGAAGAGTAGAAAATATTTAGTACACAATTGTTTTTTGGTGTTTTGTTTTGTTTTTTTAGAGAGACAAGTTCTCACTATGTTGCCCAGGCTGGAGTACAGAGGCTATTCCCAGGTGTGACCATAGTGTACTATTGCCTTAACTCCTGGGCTCAAGTGATCCTCCTGCCTTAGCCTCCTGAGTAGCTGGAACTACAGGCAGAGTTTTTTTGTTTTGTTTTGTTGACATCTCTTCTACATTTACCATGGTCCCTCACATGCTCCTTGAAAACTCGAAATACCCTTGACAGTCAGTTTCATACTCTCCTGGTTCCCCTTGCACCATTTATTTTTTGCTGCATTTCCCGCACAAGAGCATATCTTCCTCTTTTTGTTCCTTAAACATTGTATAAAGAAGGATTCCATCTTTATTTGTTACTGACAGTCTTATCTTTCCCTTTTTTTTTTTTTTTTTTTTTTTTTTTTGAGACGGAGTTTCGCTCTTGTTACCCAGGCTGGAGTACAATGGCGCGATCTCGGCTCACCGCGACCTCCGCCTCCTGGGTTCAGGCAATTCTCCTGCCTCAGCCTCCTGAGTAGCTGGGATTACAGGCACGCGCCACCATGCCCAGCTAATTTTTGTATTTTTAGTAGAGACGGGGTTTCACCATGTTGACCAGGATGGTCTCGATCTCTTGACCTCGTGATCCACCCGCCTCGGCCTCCCAAAGTGCTGGGATTACAGGCTTGAGCCACCGCGCCCGGCCTACCTTTCCCTTTTTTTTAGACAGGGTCTTATTCTATCACCCAGGCTGATATGCAGTAGTGTAATCATGGCTCACTGCAGCCCCAACCTCCCGGGCTCAAGCAATCCTCCCACCTCAGCCCCCCGAGCAGTCAGTACTGCAGATGGGTGTCTCAAACTCCTGAGTTCAAGTGATCCACGCATCTTGGCCTTGCAAGTGCTGAGATTACAGGGCAGTGAGTCAATGCACCTGGTCTCCTTTCTTAATTTTTCTTTTCTTTTTTTTTTTGAGACGGAGTTTCACTCTTGTTACCCAGGCTGGAGTGCAATGGCGCGATCTCGGCTCACCACAACCTCTGTCTCCTGGGTTCAAGCAATTCTCCTGCCTCAGCCTCCTCAGTAGCTGGGATTACAGGCACGCGCCACCATGCCTAGCTAATTTTTTGTATTTTTAGTAGAGACGGGGTTTCACCATGTTGACCGGGATGGTCTCGATCTCTTGACCTCGTGATCCACCTGCCTCGGCTTCCCAAAGTGTTGGGATTACAGGCTTGAGCCACCGCGCCCGGCCCCCTTTCTTAATTTTTAACTACTACTAGGCATGCTGAAGACCTACCCATTTCCCTAGGTTTAAGAACCATATATCCAACTCTGCACATATCTCTGCCTTGAGGTCCTTATGGAGGTAAACCCACTATACCTCAAACCAAATTCATCACCCTATCACCCACATTTCTTCCTCCTCTGATATTCCCTATTTCATTTGGAAACACCAAAAACCATGTAATTCAAATGAGAAACATGAATTATCCTTAATTATTTCCTTATCCATTGTATTCAACCAATAATCAAGTCTTACTAATTTTATATTCTAAATATTCCTTGGAGAATAATTGTATTCTTTTCTGGGAGAGTAAGTTTTTTCTTTTTTCAGGGGAAAGTGCAAACACACGCAGTCCCCTACTACCACAAATTATGCAGTCAGGTTTCCCACATTCGGGGAAATCACAGGGGTCAGCACATCCAGAGTGCAGTGGATAAGCCTCGCCCTGGAAAAACCACCTTCGTGATCATGGTATCTCCCCTGCCAGTATGAGAATAAGTTTCTATTCTTGCTAGAGGAGGCACAAAATAGTAAACACAAAAGCATGCAAATGATATATAAATATATGTAAGTTATGTAAAATATATAAATCATATAATAAAACCTGATTAGTATGGAGAAAATAAAAACAGAACATGTGTTGAAGAAATAGTAATGCTCATTAATATTCCTTGTGCTCCTCCTACATTTTGGATTCACTTAGACTGGGGTCATGCAACTAATTTTGGCCAGTGAACTGCGGGAAAAACTGACGTATCCCATTTTCACTCTTCCTTTGAACTCTCTCCTCCCTATACATGTGACCTTTGGAAACCACATGTTGAGATACATCACAAGATGGGCATCAGTCTAGGTCCCTGAGGGTCAACAGAGCTGTTTGCTAACGCATAATGGATATGTAACGCAAGATTTTCTTTTTCTTTTTTCTTTTTTTCAGAACAGGGTCTTGCTCTGTCACCCAGGCTGGAGTACAGTGGTGTGATTTCAGCTCACTGCAACCTCCATCTCCCAGACTAAAGCAACACTCCTATCTCAGCCGCTGGAGCAGCTGGGACCAGAGGTGTGCCACCACATCCAGCTATTTTTTTTTTTTTTTTTTTACATATGTATTTTGAAGAGACAGGGTCTTGCCATGTTGCCCATGGCTGGTCTTATATTCCTGGGCTCAAGTGATTTGCCCGCCTTGGCCTCCCACAGTGCTGAGATGAGAGGCAAGAGCCACCACCCCTGGCCAAGATACAAGATTTTGTTGTGTTAAGTCACTGCAATTTGGGGATGAAGTCAATTACCACAGTATAACCAAGCCTATCTTAATTAAAACAGAAATAAAAATAGGGTCATGAGTTTCAGAGTGTAAGTGGGGCAGGTTACAGTATTAAATAGAAGATAGCGTAGGATTTATTGAGAAGGTGAGAGTTGAGGCAAGACGGAATGGAGGTGAGGTGAATGTACCTGTTAAGCAGATTATTTGTGGGAGCAGCATATGCCAGGCAGGGGAATCAGCAAGCAAAGTATCTGATCACCAAGTATGACAGGCAGGGAGGCTAGCTGTGGCCATAGTAGAGAGAGCAAGTAGAATAGGTCAGGGAGGTAACGGGCGGCTAGATCAAGTAAAGCCTGGAAGGCCACCATAAGAAATCTGGCTTCTATTGTGAATCAAATGGGGAGCCACTGCAGTTTTTAGTAAAGCTGCTATGTAGAGATAAAATTTTAAGAGAGCAAGGTAAAAGCAGGGAGACCAGTTGGAGGCTGTTGGTATAATCTAGGTGAGCGATAACAGTGGTGTCTATCTCTACAGCAGAAACTTAAGCCTTTAAAGTCTTCAAAGTATAATTTTTTTTTTTTATTATTTTTATTTTTTTTTTGAGATGGAGTCTCACTCTGTCGCCAAGACTAGAGTCCAGTGGTGTGATCTCAGCTCACGGCAAACTCTGCCTACTGGGTTCTAGAGATTCTCCAGCCTCAGCCTCCCCAGTAGCTGGGATTACAGGAACCCGCCACCACACCTGGCTAATTTTTTTGTATTGTTAGTAGAGACGGGGTTTCTCCATGTCGGCCAGGCTGGTCTCAAACTCCTGACCTCAGATGATCCTCCCACCTCAGCCTCCCAAAGTGCTGGGATAACAAGCATGAGCCACCACACCCGGCCTAAAGTATAATTTTTTTATTTTTAAAGACAGGGTCTTGCTATGTTGCCCAGGCTGGAGTGCAGTGGCTATTCACAGGCAATCCCACTACTAATCAGCACAGGAGTTTTGACCTGCTCTGTTTCTGACCTAGGCCAGTTCACTCCACCTTAGGAAACCTGGTGGTTCTGCACTCCCGGGAGGTCACCATATTGATGCTGAACTTAATGCAGATACTCAATTGGCATAGTGCACTACAGCCCAGAACTCCTGGACTCAAGCGATCCTCCAGCCTCAGCCTCCCAAGTAGCTGGGACTTACAGGCATGGGCCACCACATCAGGCCTAAAGTGTAATATTTTTTTTTTTTTTTTTTTTTTTTTTTGAGACGGAGTTTCGCTCTTGTCACCCAGGCTGGAGTGCAACGGCGCGATCTCAGCTCACACAACCTCTGCCTCCTGGGTTCAGGCAATTCTCCTGCCTCAGCCTCCTGAGTAGCTGGGATTACAGGCACATGCCACCATGCCCAGCTACTTTTTTTTTGTATTTTTAGTAGAGACAGGGTTTCACCATGTTGACCAGGATGGTCTCGATCTCTTGACCTCACAATCCACCTGCCTCAGCCTCCCAAAGTGCTGGGATTACAGGCTTGAGCCACCGCGCCCGGCTAATTTCTAATCTTGTGGCTAACGTTACTCCTTTTTTTTTTTTTATCTCGGCTCACCACAACCTCTGCCTCCTGAGTTCAAGCAATTCTCCTGCCTCAGCCTCCTGAGTAGCTGGGACTACAGGCCGCGCCACCATGCCCAGCTAATTTTTGTATTTTTAGTAGAGACGGGGTTTCACCTTGTTGACCAGGATGGTCTCTCTCTCTTGACCTCATGATCCACCCGCCTCGGCCTCCCAAAGCGCTGGGATTATAGGCGTGAGCCACCGCGCCCGGCCGCGTAATTTTTAAAAAGCTGTTGACAGCAAAAAAAAAGAGAACCAAAGAAGAAAAAAAAAATCAACTTAAAAAAAAATTTTCCTATGCTTCCTTCTTCTCTTCTTAAGCTTGGACCCTCTAGGGAAATAAAAATGTACAAAATTACTGATAAGAGTTCTTTATACACAACAGATGAAGAAAAAAATCACCTACAGAGTCTCAGAAGCTAGGGTTGAAGGTAGGAAGGGGAAAGATAGAGATTTTAAATAGGAGCAACGAAACTGAGTGTGACTTAACCCACATTTATTCAATTCTATGTCTAAGGTGTTTATTAAATAGGAGAGTTGGAATGTTATCAAGCCAGATGCAGAGGCTAAAGAAGAAGCTATGAGGCTTTCCCGTTCTCTGCTCCATGGCACCTTCAGATTTCACAGGGATGAGGTGACTAACTGAAAAAAGAGTAGGTCATTTTTATTGATTGTTTTTTTGTTTTTTTTTTGATCATTAGTCTCTACTTTTACAGTGTTTTCTCTAGATTTTTTTTTTTTTTTTTTTTTGAGACGGAGTTTCGCTCTTGTCACCCAGGCTGGAGTGCAATGGCGCGATCTCGGCTCACACAACCTCCGCCTCCTGGGTTCAGGCAATTCTCCTGCCTCAGCCTCCTGAGTAGCTGGGATTACAGGCATGCCCCACCATGCCCAGCTAATTTTTTGTATTTTTAGTAGAGACGGGGTTTCACCATGTTGACCACGATGGTCTCGATCTCTTGACCTCGTGATCCACCCGCCTTGTCCTCCCAAAGTGTTGAGATTACAGGCGTTAGCCAATGCGCCCGGCCTTCTCTAGATTTTTTTAATGGAAAAAAACAGTTTGGGGCCGAGCACAGTGGCTCATGCCTGTAATCCCAGCAGCACTTTGGAAGGTCGAGGCAGGTGGATCACTTGAGATCACGAGTTCAAGACTGATCTGGCCAACATGGTGAAGCCCCATTCTACTAAAAATATATAAATTAGCCCAGTATAGTGGCATGCACCTGTAGTCCCAGCTACCTAGGAGGCTGAAGCATGAGACTCTCTTAAACCTGGGAAGCGGCAGTTGCAGTGAGCTGAAATTACACCACTGCACTTCCTGGGTGACAAAGTAAGACTCTGTCAAAAAAAAAAACAAAAAACAAACTTAAATTTAAAAAAAAAAAACATTCTGGGGAACATTTGATCCAGTTCTGATTATATGATGACTTTCATATTTATTCTCCATTGAATAACAGAATTCTGAATTTTTAAGTATCAAAGTAAAGAAGAATTTCATCAGTAAGCAGATAAAAAAGACTACAGATTTTTTTTTTTTTTTTTTTTTTTTTTTTTGAGACAGAGCTTCACTCGTTACCCAGGCTGGAGTGCAATGGCCTCATCTCGGTTCACTGCAACCTCCACCTTCCAGGTTCAAGCAATTCTCCTGCCTCAGCCTCCCGAGTAGCTGGGACTACAGGCGTGTGCCACCGCACCCAGCTAATTTTGTATTTTTAGTAGAGATAGTGTTTCTCCATGTTGATCAGGCTGGTCTTGAACTCCCGACCTCAGGTGATATGCCCATCTTGGCTTCCCAAAGTGCTGGGATTACAGGTGTGAGCCATTGCTCCTGGCCAAGACTACAGATCTTAATGACTAAAGGAAATAACAAATCAGAAAGATTAAATAAAAGTGGTATTTCTAAAGTGGGATTACATGGCAGAGGAAGAATTATGAATAACTAACCAAATCATCTGTTATATTTATTTATTTGAGATGGAGTCTTACTCTGCTACCAGGGCTAGAGTACAGTCGTGTGATCTTGGCTCACTGCAACCTCCACCTCCGGTGTTCAAGCAATCCTCCCACCTCGGCATCCCAAGTAGCTGGGATTACAGGTGTGCATCACCATGCCCGGCTAATTTTTTTTTTTTTTTTTTGAGATGGAGTTTCGCTCTTGTTACCCAGGAGTGCAATGGCGCGATCTCGGCTCACCGCAACCTCAGCCTCCTGGGTTCAGGCAGTTCTCCTGCCTCAGCCTCCTGAGTAGCTGGGATTACAGACACGCGCCACCATGCCCAGCTAATTTTTTCTATTTTTTTTTTTTAGTAGAGACAGGGTTTCACCATACTGACCAGGATGGTCTTAGTCTCTTGACCTCGTGATCTACCCGCCTCGGTCTCCCAAAGTGCTGGGATTACAGGCTTGAGCCACTGTGCCCGGCCCTGCCCGGCTAATTTTTTAATATTTTTAGTGGAGATGGAGTTTTGCCAGGCTAGTCTTAAACTTCTGACCTCAAGTGATCTTCCCACCAGTAGCTGGTGGAATGGGGAAATGGTAGAGAAATCAGTTAGGTTAGGGTCATGTTACATTTGAGATGACTACTAGACAATGAAGTGGAAATATCAAGTAGGCAGTTGAATATACAAGTC